TCTGGTATTAAACCGGTTTTTTTTCTTTTTTTCATATTTATTGAATTTATTTAGGGATCGATTAAGAGAAACGGGCAGCTTAATCACGACTCAATATTTATATAAACTAAATCACCAATGTATTATCCATCCTGTAGAAAAAAATGCCAACTTAGTATTTTTATGGAAATAACTGTTTGTCTTTGCTAATAAAAAAGGTTTTGTATCATGCTGCACATACTCGTAAGTTCTTAGAGATTGGTACCCAAATCAGAGCAAATCTTTCAAAATATAAAGGCCCAGTCAGTCTGTGATTCAGTCTGCTGTGTTCCGATCATCTATTACTCGGCAGTTTCTTCTCTTGAACAAACTTTTCATAGGACAAACATTCAATGTATATAATCCAATAGTTAATAAATGAAGTGTAATAGCTCGGTTGGAACTTAAATTAACTAAAATTTGCATCTAAATTGACAAAGGTCTGTTTTTCTTTTAAACTGAATCTTCAAGAAATTTTCCAGCCTTAAAAGAAATATGACAAGTTAAGTGTTCTACTATTAAAAAATTAACGTTAAAAAGCAACTACGTTTCGACCGCTTAGTACTCATTTTCAAGTTCAAGGATAAATTATTTATCATGCGCTTATATAATCAATAGAAAAAATGCCGATGAGTTCTGACTAACACTCCTAAATATTTACATAGAAAAATACGATTGTTGAAAATTGAGGCAAGAATGATAAAAAAACGCTGAGGCGAAAAAAACAATATTAAAAGTGAATCGATTAGATAAAGACTTTTGCATGGATAGAATCACACTGTTTGTTCAATTTTTTTTTAAGTTCGCGAATAAAAAGCATTTCAAAGATCAAACAGTCCGGTTTACTCAGATATTTCTCCAAAATCTTGAAAATTATTTCTCTGGTCTCAGGATCCTTTCCATGCTCGTCCTTTACTTGTTTGCCGATTGTTGATCGCTTGTGTTCCTCCAAACGTTAATGTAAGTGTCGTCTCGTGGAGCCGGCATAGTCTGCAATAGTTTCTCCTCTTGAATAAACTTTTCACCGAACAAACATTCAATGTATATAATCCAATAGTTGATAAATGACGTGTAATAGCTCGGTTGAAACTTAAATTAACTCAAATGTTGCATCTAAATTGACAAAGGTCTGTTTTTCTTTTGAACTGAGTCATCAAATTATTCCCCAGCCTTTAAAAAAAGATGACAATGAAAGTTAAGTATTTCTATGAAAATAACTTTTGGTCGTTACAGTCGGAAAAAGGTCTCTGAATCATTCCACATTTCAAACGTTTCAAATCTCTTTTAAAATTCAGTTCAACTAACTGATTGTTCCCTTTTAAGCCTTAATTTTTCGCTTCGCAAAAAAGGAGACAGACCTTCTGAAATTACCAAACTACTCGCCGAGAAGGAATAGTTAGCATTTTTTTCTGCTTCGAGAAAATTGTAGCGACAAACCAACCGGTGGTTTGTTGCTAAATTAATCGCCAGAATACGACGTTGTTATGCACGTTGTAAGCACTCCATCTCTCGGAACTATTTAACCAGAGGCAAAGATCACCGGTAATTGCTTAAGGTTAGTTTACGTTTCTTACTAAGCCGGTAAAACTCGTCCTACAGTCAAAAGTTAATGTAAACCAACTCAAGGCATGGCAGCATGGTGGTTTATTAAGTCATAGAGAACGGTTCGTTTGTGGTTTATGCACAGAGACAGACAGATTTGATAGGCAAGATGTTAAACCTGTCTTTTTAAACTGCAGGAAAGCGCAGAATTCTTTTTGCCGCAGACATGACGATGGTCTACCGGCCAAACGAAACACGGAAAAGTAGCACCTTGTACGGTCGTACGCTCGTACATCCAAAGTTTTTCGGCTTGATGGGTTACTACTATTTTGTATAATTATGGGGCTACGCTCTGCGAGCTCCGCTATTACACTTCATTTATCAACTATTGGATTATAGACATTGAATGTTTGTCCGGTGAAAATGTTTTCTACAGGATGGATAGAACCTTGGTGATTTAGTTTATATAAATGTTGAGTCGTGAATAAGCTACCTGTTTCTCTTAAACCCTAAATAGATTCAGTGAATATGAAAGAAAAAAAAACCGGTCTAGTACCACCGACATCTTGCTGGATGGGCAGATGTTTCACTTTTCTATGGATATACTGGTAAATTTCCAATGATTTTTGACCAATTAGAGCACACGTTGTGTCCAAGTTATGTCTTAAAGGTAAATGAAAACTATACCTGTACATCCTCATTGATCTGTCCTTGCCACTGACCCTCCACGTTGTAATGATACTGTACTGGGCCCCCGTTTACCAACCGAGAGCGAACGCCGTACATCACATCATAACGCGATTTGGCGTAAATCAATAAGCGTTAAAAAAAAAAGCAAACAAACAAACGGACGACTTTAAGGGAGAAACTTTTTTAGTTCGCTTTTTTCGAATAATTATTTCTTATAAGTTTTTATTGTTTGCTCAGTGCGTAATAAAGTCAAACTCTGCAAGAGGGTCTCAATTGAGTCAAACTCTGTAAGATGGTCTTAATTGGGTCAAACTCTGCAAGAGGGTCTCAATCGGGTTAACTGTTTTTGTTTGGCAAAAAACGTTTAGCAGTTAGGCACAAAAATTGACGTTTTGAGAATTTTAACCATTTGACGTAAAAATACTCGCTGTAAAATGTATGTTTTCATGGTTACGGAAATAAAAAGGCATCACCCCTCTGAGACAGTCCCGCAAAGAATGGGTGAGCTGGGGGAAATTTCTCGCCCGTATCGAGGAGGTATGGGTTTTTGAGCCCATCAATTTCCCGTTATAGGTCTCAAGAGAGTTACGCGAGCGCAAAAAGCTGAATTTCAAGTTTGAGAACGGGCATAGAGAATGACATGGTTTGGTTAAGATATAGGGTATTTTAATTTTAGAGAAACAAACGCCATTAGAAATTAAATAAGGAATTATAACAGTTTGTATGGGAATATTTACGACCGCTTTAAGAAATAAAAAAATACGTCAAATTCTCAAAACAAATACCTCACCTTACTTCCATAGTGTATCGCTTGCGATCTGACCGCTTACTTTGATGAAAAGAGCCCATTTTAGCGAGTTGTCCATTTCGAGGTTTTCAACTTACATAAGAAAAGGCTTTTCTTTTGTACGTTGAAAACCTCGAAATGAACAACTTGCTAAAATGGGTTCTTTTCATCAAAGTAAGCGAGTCTCAAGTCGAGGCATTTCTTAACCTCGATGGCAAATAAAGATGCTCAAAACCTAGGGTAAAGCTTTTCGTCGTCGGCTGGTCGACGTCACCCCCACCCCTCCCCCCTTACCCACCAAGTTTTAGTCTCTTCCCCCCCCCCTCTCAAAATAGCTATAATACTATGCCATATTGTAAGGTAGATATAAATGTCTCCGACCACCCACCAACCTCAAGATTATCCTTGACTTGACTACCGGCCAAACGAAACACGGAAAATTTTGACCAGCTGGTTATCATAATCAGTCTAATTTGTTTCAATACAAATTAGACTGATTATGAAAAATCTGAATGGCATTCACAAACAAAAAAAATATATGAATGATAAAAAGTAATTCTTTAATTGGGATTTTGCATGGTATTATAAATTATCATACCTAGTGCCTGTGTCATCTCAGACCTCGGTTTGATAATTCAACCTCATCTAATAAATGTTTAACATCCAGTGCTTTTCTCGCCGGTGATTGGAGATAAGAAAGCAGCTCAGGCTTCAACAATTTTGCTTCAAAGTGAAGGAAGAGAGCATCTCCGAGATTTAGAGCGTAAACTTGGCACAGAGCTTAAATTCATTCACGTTGTGCGTAATCCTTTCGATAATATTGCAACTTTAGCGCTTCGCAAGGCGGAAGTCAAGAAAAACAAAGTCCAAGACAACCTTGAGTTTGGTGGGTGGTCGGAGACATTTAAATCTACCTTACAATACGCCATGGTACTATAGTTATTTTGCGATGAGGTTACATGGGCTGAAAAACAACTAAACAGGGTTCAGATGTTGATTAAAAATCATTCATTTCTTCAATCATATTCATTTGAAAATTAAAAGATCTAAAAATGTCTACATCTTTTTCGTTTGTTTGTTTATTTCGAGCCAAAAAACAAGTTCATTTAGGTTACAAAATTACCATCCTTTAAAAACTTGATAGGAAATAAAGAGAAAAATAAGGAGAAAAAAAAGCACGTATCACGTAAGAAAGAATGGAAGAATGGAAAATAAACCAAAACAAACATGTCACACCGATGGTGGCTAGTTATAAAGTAATTTATGCAACAACATGTTTTCATATAAATCTTAGAACTGAAATTTTAACAAATTAGATTAAAATTTCCTTCTTCCTATAAAGCTAGTTCGAGTAATAAACTGACAATGAAGGAATTTCTCGGTGCAGTAGAGCTGTGTTATGAGGAGGATACTGAACCATAATCACATATGTCGGAAATGAAGAGTTGTAGTTCGGTATTGAGAAGATTTGTTCACTATCCGTCTTGTCTCGAGCGTGGGACCCATCCCCAGACTTTCGGATTCCGCACTCGTTCAAGGCCAGGGAAATATTTTGGTTCTTCTTCTTTTTTTCTTCGTTGTTGTTGTTTTTTTGTTTGTTTTTCTCTTCTCATTGGAAATATTTCAAATCAAAGGTTTGTATTGCGCTGTTACAGACGTTCGGTGGATAAAACGGAGAGAACTGCTAAATGGTGCTATAGTAGCGGTGGAGAGAAAAAGTGAGGGGGGCTTGGGTATGAGTTTCTTCTTTTTTCTGCTCCTCAGTGTCTGTCACACGTGAGTTAGTGTAGAGCTTCGTTTTACAAACTGAACCGGCGCCTGAAACAAGCTAAGGTCTCCTCTACCTTTGCCTCGTAACTGAATTTCTGTCGTCGGTTCAAACCCACGCGATTTTTTGACACGAATATTTGTGTCAAAGTGCGGATGTCACAATATTTGTTTTTCAAAATGAATAACACGTAGTTTTGTTTGCACATATGAATCTTCACGACAGCTCTACACGCAACTCAAAGAACACTCATCACCAGAGGCTCTGAAATAATCACACAGTGTTAATTCCAATTTCAGGCCTGTTTTCAATATTCCAGGATCACAATCGCCAGATTACTTTACAAGGTATGTTTCCATCGAAGGGTAAATTAGGTTATCTATTCTATAGCCGGTTTTACATTCTCGTAAGCAGAAAATTTTCTTTTAGAAGATTTTAGCTTGAACAGGTTTAATAAGATAGTCTGTTTTTGTGAATAATAGCATAATTTTGGCTTCCAAAGTATTAGCTTCGTTTGTCATCCCTTTAAAGATTATCTGATCTTAATTCGCTGCCCTTCAAAGTACGTGCAAGAATTAATTTTATAACTATTGGCAACCTAAATTTAAAAATTTTTCGGTCGTGGTTGATTGTTTACCTAATTGTATCTAATTACGCAGCACATTCTAGTTTCTTTACTGCACGCGACAGAGAGAAAAATTCCTTCCCGAAACAATTTTATCATGACATGTTTTTCAACTGCTTAATATGTTAAACTGAAATGGAATGAACAGTAGTGATTCGCATCCTAAACAAATCTTGGCCTTTCTTCGAAACCCTCGTCGTAGAATTAGCTTATAGAACAGGTTGTCAGGTCAAAGATGACAACAATAACACCACGCTTACAAGAGTTACAGGATATGTTTTTCAGAAAGGACCTAACGAGCACATCTAGGTCTTTCCTGCGTTTGCAAGTTAACTAGGCGGGTATAAAATTAGTTGTTCTCGAGCAAAGCACGATGCAGCTATTGTTTACAAAAGAAACCCTGTGCAATTATTTGCAGAAATATTGCACAACCACAAGTATTCGAAGACCAAGGTCATGTTTCATTCTCAAACGCAAGATTCCTTGGCCGAAAAAAGGCCTCCTCTTGCCATCTAAGCGATTGTTTTAAGAAATTGTTAATTAAGATTGATAAAAGGGAACACGAGCGGCTCCAGTTGTGACATGATCATCGTGCAAAATAAGAGTCATGGCCTCGTCATGTGCCTCGCCAGGGACCACACCGGTACTGGCATCAACAAATTGTTTTTAGAACCACGGGTGATAAGTGACGGTGTGGTCCCCGGCGAGCCACAGTTTGCAAAGGAGGCATGGTTACCAAGCTGGTTTTCAACGGTTGTGTGACGTGTGAAAGTGAACGAGGGCTGTTAGCGACGTCTAAACTGGAAACTTTTGAAGCAAACTGCGGCTTAGCGTCGGCTTCACGAAGAAGACTGAGTATGTGGTGAATTGAAATGAAACTACAGTATATGTGCTTGGATTATGCGTTCGATATGTGGCCGCCCGGTCATGTTGAGCTTGGAATATTTTGCTTCTTGGATCAGGCGTTCGGAAATGGAGTGTGCAGCCCTGGCCTTCTCTTAAGTAGTAAACCTAGAAAGAGATAACTCACTAAAATGGGTTCTTTTCAACATCGTATGCGGTCAGATAACAAGCTCTGCACTGCGGAAGTAAGGTGAGGTATTTTATTGAGAATTTTACTGTATTTTTTTATTCCTGAGAGCGGTTGTAAATATTCCCATACAAACTCTTATAATTTCGCAATGACTCATATTTTGCAAGATGATCATCTCACATTTGGAGCTTAGGCCGCCTGTGGGGGGAAAGGAAAAAGCAGGTATTACGTCTTTAAATACAACGTTAGGCAAACGTCCGTTTTTAAATAAGATTTTCACTTGAAATTGTCACTAAGGCAAATACATTGTGCTCGACTGAGCATTTCCCTCCTCCTGGCCTTTGAACTGTCGAAAAAAAGGATTTTTTTTAAACACAAAAATTGTTAGACAAACATACGCAAAGGTGACTAGTTGACGCTCGTCTCTTGTATCAGGCTGTATACAGGAAATCAAATAAGTTAATATTAACCTCTATTGATTGCCCGCTTGGAGAAATGACTATCAGACGTCTCTTACTAGGGAGTCTAACGGAGATGAGAGACAGAGCTCGAGATTAAGGCTACTAGAAGGACGCCATCGTTGACAATAAATCCAGTGTTAATATCGAGTTACAGTATTGTTTAAACAAGACTTGAAGGAAAATGAAAGCGAAAGTGACGAAATGAGTACTCATCGACAACTCGTGACCCAAAAAGATAGGAAAGCAGTGTGCCGCTTTTGGTTGTTCAAATACATTTTATGGCCCCAATGGTTTGCCAACGAGCTTACACTTCTTCAAGTTTATGCACGGAGGCATGTATTTTTGCTAAGTATTTATCGTTCTATACTTATCTTATTCTCTGTGAATTATGGATGAGGGTAACTATTGTTGCAAAATAAGTACGCATTTTCTAGTAGGTACTTGAATTGTTTTAAGTTCAGTAGAGTTTTTCTTATTCCGGCAGCAAGTCAAAAAGTTCAGTGCTGCTCACCTGTTTACTACATGGCTTGCCTAAAACACTCCTAGCAGAGAAACTCTTGGAAAGTAATTTCTTTTAATAAAATAACCAAGACACTGTATCTTCAGAGTTTTCACTTATTATGGCAGACCCAGAAAACTGACTCAAATTTGGTAGCAATTGTGACAAAAGCAGTTTTCAGTGGTTGTTGTTTTTGTTTTTTATGACAGCATAGTAATCCACTATGGATGCCACATGGAACTCTCAAAAAATATTTTGTGTGCGTAATATGTATCAATCAACTTGATGCTTCAAATTGAAAAAAAGAAAAAGTGAGTTTCACCAACTAAAAGAGTTCTCGACACAAAGATGAACTATGACAATAAATTTTATTATTCACAAAATTGTCCTCATAATAAAAAGTTTGATAGAAGTCTCGCAAAAAATAATTTCTCATACATTTCAATGGTCTGAAAGATTCTCTTTCAAACAAATCTTATGGTAACTATAACAAGATAAAATAAATATCTTGATTTGGATATATTTCTCAATCTTTTAAGTATCTTCTTTACATCTCAAAATTATATCATAACATTGGTTAGCACAATGCAGTAAGAACTAGTATTAATAGCAAACCTTTGTGTCAGAAGGCCTCTGAGTGCTGAGAATGGGAATATCAATCCACTGAATGTTTATCACTGACAGAAACTTAAATGTGTGTAAAGGAATAGCATTGTTGAGATCAGTAGCTGAGAGGAAGCATTTCTGTTCTCTTCCTTTAACCCTTAAATACCCAAGATCTGATTGTCAATTCTCCCTTCTAGTTGCTGCACATTTACTTGTAAATAAGTTATGAGAATTTGATGTAAGATCAAGATAACTTTTGCCTGATAAGTTTCAGTATTAACATTATCTGTTTGCTGGATAGTGTTTGGAGAAGTTACATGAGTCAGTCACTTCTATGAGTTTTTAAATTGTCTAATAATTTGGTCTGATTCTTTCAATGGTGTCTTGCCACCTAATAAATTACCATGAGTCGCGAACTGAAATGGTTTTCAATGCATCACGAGTATAAGGTATCCTGGGCCAGATGGGTATGAAAATATTTTGACATCTGTTAGTTACAGTTTTCCTCATGGGTTGATAGAAACAAGGGTTATAATCAAGTGGTTCTACAGGCTCCATTGTATAGTTTCTCATAAGATAAAATGTACAAATGGCAAACTAAAAGACATCTTGGTGAACAAAATGGGAACAACTTTAACTGAAGAATATGGTACAACAACAAGTACCACATCAACAACAGCAGCAATAAAAAAATATCCTCTTCCTAGAGGGCTGTAGCCTAAATTGCCCCGCTTTCTAAGCCATACCGAACAGCTTCTGTGGTACTTCCTGTAATGCGTTCCTCTCAACATGATGTGGCGATATTCTCGTGAAACAACGGGGTAATCGTAAAGCTGACTGAAATTCATCTCAGATAAATTACGGAGATTGCTCGCCCATCCAAGGGCTGAAATCCTTACCATAGTTACTTTGTATCTGAAGTCGTTCTGGTTTTGTTCTAGGTCCTGGACATCTGTAAGAGGTTCTCGGTTTTCTCCATTACTTGATGGAAGGACGTGTTACATCAGCAAAGCATAAACTTTCAACACTAAGTCGGCTCTAATTGAGACCGTCGATTTTAAATTATATTTTAAAATCTCCCTGAGATCTTTTGCTTCGAGTTTCTGGATGTCATCTAATGACGAAATTTTCATATTGTTGTGTTAAAGAACTATTTTGAAGGGAGAAATCGCATTGAAAAGTGCATTAGATCATGAAATGTCAGCAGATCAGCTGTTTGAAAGAACCGCCGGGTCAACCTCAGCCTCGTTATCGTGTATGCGCGGTTACTAATCCAATGTGGCGCCGGGAACTGTAAAAAGGTCTATTTCTATTGCCCAATGTTAAAATATGTGATTCACGAAATCTTTTAAGAATTCGCTTTTGCGTTTCAAAGGGTGGCACTTTTTAGTTAAAATGTATAGAATAAATACTCAAACAATAAATGACATACTCTTTTTTTTTGACTATAGAAATGGTGAGAAATTGAATTTCAGGCTTCTGCATCTTTTAGATGTTTGGAGGAGTAAACGAGAGTATCCCGGAATTCGATGTATTTCTCTCCATGAATTAAGTCTATCAAATCCAAAATGCAGCAAGCTTTGGCTAAAGATCTGTTCAATGGTTCTTTGACTTTACTTATGAGCAGTTCTTAGTTCAGATCCACTTCAAACCCTGTACAGGCCTGAATTTTTTTCAGGCCTTATTTTCTCTACTGCTCACAGCAGCTGTACAAAATTATTTTCAATATAATTGGAGATTATTATAAAATACCATGCCACATTTTTTTATGAGTCGTGAAGAGGAATTTAGCATAACATCGTACGACTGTGTCAAGACAGGAACTACAATTATAGTTAATCTACAATATCGTAAGGGTTTCCTTGTATTGATTTCGGAAAAAGGAATGGAAATATTATATTATTTAAAGTCATTTAATGCAAATTATAAAAAATGGCAGGTTGATTACTTCTTACTCCTTCTTGGTGGTCTTATCTTAAAGGTTGAGTTTGGTCACGTTCTTCTTGTGAGTTTAATCACGTTCTCCTATTGAGTTTAATCACGTTTTCCTCGTTGTGATCGTGAGGTTGACATGGAACTCGTGATCAGCCATGTTCTTAATAAAGTTAATTTGTTGGTCCAGGAAGAGTAAATCTCCCTGGTAATAAGTCGCGTTCGACACCTTCTTGTCCCCAGAGGTAATTTAAGGTGTAAACAGGTGATACCCCTCATGTTTCGCAACTAAAAGCAATTTGGAGGCGGTACTTGCGAGCGCCTTTCTTCTTTAACTCTTGTGACCAAGATGTTGTTATGTAACAATCTTTAAAGGTGATTTTCTCTTAAGATACCCTTTCAGGTATAAACAATACTCTGAACCAAGGTTATTTGTAATTTTTATATTATCGATCTCGTTTCTGTTCTGACCGATATCAACCGTAAAGATACGAAAATTAAGGTAGAAATTGATTTTGTAACTGCGTAAACAACTCGAAGGTGCATACTCAGTATGTAGGAACTATAATACGTAGTCAAGCGTGATTTGCTAGTTGAGATGTTACGATAACGACACAAGAAGATTGACGGCTTAGAAATGTCATCTGCAGTGTCACCTTTATAAGCGGAGACTCTAGTTTTCCCTGTCATAGAGAAGCTAGTCCCCGTTGTATTAATTTGTGAAGAAAGAGAATAAAGAAGAATTAACCTATCAAATGACGAGTGCTAGTATCATGGATTGAATTTTTCGTATTTTGTCTCCCTCATATGACAATATGGAATTACCTTTTAGTCAATATTTGCAATTTCTTAATGTTTTCGAAATTAGGTCGCGGGGTGATCTCCCTTAGGAAGTCATGACGTTTCGCTTTCGTTTTCCATCCTTGATGAGAGAAGCTGCAGCTGAGTTCGCTGCTACCTTCATCTTACTGGTGAGTGTTTTATGAAGCAAATATAGTGAAAGGTCATACTATTTCAACTATATCTGTTATTTCAATAAAGCCGCCGTTCTGAAAAGGAGGGTAAAGTTTTCCCTCTACTCAGCCACTCACAAAATTTTTATATTGTAAGTAGTCTTGATTGATCACTGCTTTTGGAAATGAATAGAATTCTATTCTACAGACTTTTGGAATTGGATCAGTGGCGCAGATGGTTCTCAGTAAGGGGAAGTTTGGAACTTTCTTCTCTGTCAACTTTGGTTGGGGAATTGGTGTAACGCTTGGCTGCTACTGGGCCGGTGGGATTTCAGGTGTGCCATTTGGTTTTACCTTTTTAGTAGATATCAGTGACTAAGAAGGACTTGGTGTACTCAGACCATATCATGGCGATTGTGCAGAACAGGTTTCCAGCCAGTCTTCCTTGGAAGACAAGGTCTTTACAAGGACACCCTGGCTCTTTACTCCTACACCTGTCTTTCACCAACACGAAAACCCAAACCATTTTATTCGTACTGACTTTTAATTTCTTTCTAATTTCGTCATTTTACACCCCTTGTCAATCTTTGAAAACCCTAACCATCATCGTTCGTTTTAGTACCTCTGACCTTCCGAGTTTATTGGACCAAGAAAAGAATTATTCCAAGGTTTATTCAATTTAGAGACGATCACTCATTTGCTAGGCTTTTTTGCCCGTGTTGGACCACGTTTCCAAAGGCATGATTAATTAACGTGTAATGATCGTTTGCAGGAGCTCACATGAACCCCGCGGTCACATTGGCCTTTGCCGTCGTCGGGAGACTTCCATGGAAGAAGGTTCCCGTATATTGGATGGCACAGATGTTGGGAGCCTTCGTCGCTTCGGCTTGTGTTTATGGAGTTTATTATGGTGAGTTACTTGCAAGGACCACTAATAGTACTCATTATGATTATTTCAAATAGCTTTAGATCATATTTAAAGCGTTTTCGTGGTTCTCAAGAACTTTAAATACAAAATATTTGACTCACTGAATAGTCAATCATCTTGATCCGTCGTTTTCCCTAATTCGGGTGAAAAGTTTTTCATTTCACATTTTTTTTGTCTTTTGTATTAAAGAATCATAAAACCAGGAGTCAAAGACTTGACCTAAGGCATAACTAAGTGTCTTCTTAAATCATAGTTTGTTTGTTTGTTTGTTTGTTTTTGTTTGCCGGGTTGGCTATTTGTCCATATGACTATTTCTACGGCTGACCATTTGTGACTTCATAGATGCATTGAATGCGTTTGATGGAGGAGTACGACAGATATTGGGTGATAGTGGAACTGCAGGGATCTGGGCAACCTATCCCCAGTCTTTCTTGTCTACATGGAATGGACTAGGAGACCAGGTAAATTCCATATCTTACGTTAACCCTTTAACCTCTGAACGTGATTGAGATCTAATTTCTCCCAAAAATTCCCGTCTCATTCGAGTTACGTCACTTAATTGAAACTATACTAAAAAAAAGTCCACTAATCAAGGCGTGAAATTGCGCCTAATACAGGCGCCAGTGCGACTAAATTTTTCACTTTGGCGACCAAATCCGAAAAGTAGTCGCCAAATTGGTGACTAGAATGCTTCATCATAATTATACCTAGAGATATAGTGAATTAAAAAGATTTGCAAAGAGAAATCCGCGGCAAACTTCCTCGTTAAGTTTGTTTAATTTCCAAAACGCAGCACATGCATCTTGATCGATAATTAGACGCCATCTTGGATTTAGGTGAGCTTGAACGTTGTATATCACCCATCCTAGTGTCAACTGTGTAGAAATTTGTAGAACTTAATTTTGGAGGGTCTATCTAGAATGCTGACAGCGTTAAAAAAAAAAAGGTTTTGTTTGTCTTTAAAAAATGGCGACCAACCTTTTTTTGTATTGGCTGCCACTTTGAAAAATTTAGGAGCCAAGTGGCTATCAGAAAAAAAAAATAATTTCACACCCTGTTAATACTATTACCTATTCTTCATTCAACTTTGTTAGGTGTTTGCCACAGCCCTGTTGGTCGGGTGCGTCTTCGCCATCGTCGATAAGAACAATAATGCTCCCGACCAAGGCGTGGCACCAGTCATGATAGGTCTGCTCGTATTTGTGATCGGCGCCACTTTCGGGTTCAATTGTGGTTACGCTATCAATCCTGCGAGGGATCTGGGACCAAGGTTATTTACAGCAGTGGCTGGATGGGGCAGTGGAGTATTCACGTGAGTATCACGTTTATGTTCAAATTCCATCATCGGAGATTCAAGGGAAGAAATTCGGAGCCGCGTTGAGCGGTTTTAAATGTATACCACACGATCTCTAGGGATGTCCTCACTCTTACATGTGCCTATTATTTTTTTTTTAGGGAAAACTTTCGTCATTAATTCAGTAACATTGACATTATTAGTTGTTTATTTTTAGCTTTAAAATGTTATAGAAAACACTTTCCCAGGTTAAGGGTAATCTTCGAAGTTTTTTGTTCTCGTTTCTTTCTTTTCTTTTCTCAGCTCTTGTGTGTTATTGCTCATGGTCTTATATTGCTGCTACCTTTTTTAAAATGGTAGTTACTTCCATGAACATGAAAATTGATTTAAATAGCGAGACGATGACCTCGATATAAGAGTCTCATCATTACTGATTCCTTGAATAAATAATAAAAATTTTTATTGCAGTGCGGCTAACAATTGGTCGTGGGTTCCAGTCGTGGGATGCATGTTGGGCGGAGTCCTGGGCGCCCTGGTATACATTGTTCTTATCGAAATACACCACGTTCCAGGAGATGATGGGGAGACTGGTTACGAACTTCAGTCAGTCTTTTCAACTAATCCCGAGTCTACAAGGTCTAGGACTCAAGAAAATGGTCTGGGTATGGGAAACATGGCCTTTACTGAGGATGGTATGCGTCAACTTACTTGCCAGGGACCTACGATGAGTGTGGTTGAAAAGACATCTCAACTGTAACTTTTTGATGAGTTGTTGCTGTGTATTTAACGTGACCGCTTCAGATTCGAAAAAAAAAAAAAGAAATTATTTTGGCTTTTGTAATTGTGTATTCTTACTCTGCATCTTGGCTTTGCATTCGATTAATGAAGTTGATAGAGCCGCTGCATGCAAAGAGTACATTCCAGTGATTTTTAAAATGAAATCATGGCACTCGATGTTCCGACTAAGTCACGCTTCAGGGAATTTTTAGTTATGACATATATCATGCTTTTAAAAGACGTTTATAACTAATTAATTAGAATTTTCTAGAAATGAAAGAAGTGCCTCGCAATTTTTTGAAGAAAAAAAATCAACTTAACAAATCGTTGCGATCTACTGCTTTTTTTAATAAATCTTCCAGCGCTGCATTGTTTGATCTGTTGTTTATCGACTGAAAACGTCACAGGAAAAAAAAAGAGAAGCCTTTCCTCCCTACGCTGTGTATGCGGAAATATTTGCAAAAGACTTTAACCAGATTTTCATTTCTTTAGGTTTAGAATTGGGCTCGTAGCCTTTTTACTTTTTTCGCCATTTTTCCCTACTATAGTTTGGGTTCGGACCGATGGACTTGACAGGAATGTTTGAAGAGAAGAAAGCCCTATGAAAAGGGAGCTTTGTTTTACACTGTAACTTTACTTTTGACGATGAAAATGTAATATACCCAAGTTTACTTCGATGCACAAGCTCACATTGCATTTAATATAAATGTTCGTCTAGGGGGAAAGACTTATTGCTTCAGCAAAGTCCCTATTATGGTGGACACCCTCTTTACTTGTAGAATACTAGGTCAGTATATCATCCACCGTGTCCATACATGGTAAGATGCTAAGTAGAGGGTCTTTTTTATCTCTGACCTTATGGCATTAGTTCATAAGATTGAATTTTTTGGCTCATTAAAATTTTATATGTAAAAAGAGGTTCATATTAGCGTTGGAAACGTTCATCTCAAAGCTATGTAAAAACGGTCACCGTTTTAACTAACGAAAGGAGTAAGATGCAGAAAGTGGATCTTGTCGAGAATATTTCAATAGATATCCAGCGGTGCTAGTGCGCATCCTCAGTAACTTAACTACAAAGTGAACATGATATGTATTTATCTTATATAAAAAGCCAACGATTATTTTTTTTTCACAATGTCCATCGGGTAGGTGTCCTGGGTTACTCGTGGTTACTTTTGATGGTAATGTTTTCGAGTTCCACTCCGGGCTTGCTTGGATCGTCTTCGGGATGATGCATCTCAATCAGACCGATGTAAGCGAGTGCACCCAGAACTGCACCTAAGAAGCATCCCACGATTGGCACCCAGAACCAATGGTCGCCCGCACTGAAAGACACGAAAAAAACATTGTCATTATCGAGAATGTTTTGTTCGGTTGATAATTCCTTTCTAACCTTAGGAATCCTACTATTAGGCACGATCTGCAAAGATGCATTAGACGAACAGGCTAAGGGTTTGTTTAAAGTATGGATTCATGGAGTTCGGCCTCTGAGGCTGGTTGGATAAAATACTCACGTAAACACTTCAGCGCCCCAGCCTGCCATAGCAGTAAATAGTCTCGGACCCAGATCCCTGGCAGGATTAATAGCGTAACCGCAGTTATATCCAAACGTAGCGCCAATGACGAACACAGTCAACCCAATTATCACAGGTGTCGCCCCCTTATCAGGAGTGTTATTGTTCTTATCAATGATGGCAAAGACACAGCCAACAAGCAAGGCCGTGCCGAACACCTAAGTAAAACATTAAGTCGTGTTAGTGACGCAATGCTAATTTTAACTGACCCTACGGTTTGGTCCGGCTTTGTCTGCCCATCTATGTTCACGGGCTCATGTTTTCTGGACGTCGAACCGTCTGCAGTTTCTCAATTCCAATACCTAGCCTCCTTCTCATTAACCTTTTTATTTCGTTGTAATTTTCTGCCTGTCTATCTACCTTTCTATCTACCTGTTTTTCTGATCTTCCATTGTATATAGCTGTAGGTATGAACTTTCTTGTCTTGCAATTGTTTTCGTTATTCAGGATTGGAATCAGTGCATCGATTCTTATGCCAGTATCTGCCTCCATATATTCTAGTTATATCAATAACTCACTCCATACAGGCTAACCCCCATCTATTCCAGTCATATCAATAATTCACTCCTTATAGACTAGCCCCCATCTATTCGTGACTGAGTGAGTTGGTCCATCGGTTCGTCTATCTGTTTTTCTTTCTTTTTGACTCTCGAACGTGATAATTTGGAGTTATTAAGCATGGCAACCAAATGATTCGCCCTGGTTTACCTGGTCACCAAAGCCGTTCCCAGTTGACAAATAACCTTGAGGATATGTTGCCCAGATCCCTGCAGTTCCTTTCTCACCCAGTACACGACGGACACCTCCATCAAATGCATTTAAGGCATCTATAAGATGAGGCAAAAAAATGTGTACTCCTGATTCATTAGAATTGCGCGTAATAGTGGGACGTCATAATAACTGGGTATTATCAACCGAGTTATTAACATAAATTGGCAACAGTAAAGAGTCTAACGTTTAAAGTGCTAGCCCCTCGTCATAGCGACATTAGAACTAGTCGTAAACATTCCTAATCAAAGTGCTCTGTGAGCAAACTCGTGAATTGACGGATGACTTACATGATTTTTTGGACTATGTTTAACGTTATCTGGTTTAGGGAATTTTATGGTTGATTGTCATATTACACACGATACGAAATGTAATGATCGATTTTGTCCTCAATCTCACGCCAGAAAAGGAAAAGCTTTTTAACAGCTGTAAACTCCGAGCGCTTCGGAGTAAGTGATATTTTTAATGAATCTTCAGATTGCTTTCAAGTTCAAGGATTGTAAATTACAATTTTATGAAAAACGAAGGTTGTTCTCTTATTTCAGTGTGAATCCTCGCACGCCTGCCAGTCGCTGGCGTCGCTCGTTGAAACTAAAACGAAAAAAATTAAACTCTTCTAAGATTATCACTGGCTTCTTTTTGACCCCACCACTATTCTTAGCAACAAAGGTCGCCATTTCGTTAAAATCGATAAAAAGTTTACAGGAATCGACCAATCGAGCGAGCGAGCGAGTGCCATTCTCCACATCATATCTACAACTCGCTCTTGTATGCGCGCAATTCACGAGTTAAAAAGGAATTATCAAGTTTTTCCTTCCTCGGAATGAAATGATGCACACGGAAACAAAAAGATAGGGAGTTCATATTGTATACTAATGGGTTTTGGAACCTGACCTGTTTATTACGTTAAAGAACAACAAAACATGAAAAGAAGCGGGTCTTTTATGGACAGAGCTGTATATTTTGAGATCCCTTTCGTAGTAAGGAACAAATAACTCCAATTAAACTCTTTATAGACACCAGGTTTGAAACGAACGTAATCGAAGTCTGCTGAGTATGGAGTACTGTTTACACTACCAGTTTATGAATTTTCGAAACATTTTGGAGAAAAATATATCTGGTAGACTGTTATGCGGGTCGGCATTGGACCCACAAGCGTTGACTGAGAACATTTTTATTCTATAATTACCCACCATAATAAACTCCATAAACACAAGCCGAAGCCACGAATGCGCCCAGTAGTTGTGCCGCCCAGTATACGGGAACTTTCTTCCATGGAAATCTTCTTACGACGGCAAAGGCCAATGTGACCGCAGGGTTCATATGAGCGCCTGAAAAAATAATCAGAATTATCGCATTAATAAATGTAACCACATGAGTTGAACTGAAAATATGAGATTTGCAACGGAAAAGATTACGCAAGAAAGTTATGAATGGTAAACAGTTTCCAATGAAAGTAAGGCAATTAACACAGTGGCGAAGACTTTACTTCAAAAGCAAGATTATTGCCAATCAACTCTGGATTTCCGATGTAATCCTACTTTTTGGTATAGTTTAAAATGAAAATAAAACTTAAGCTACCACAAAATTTTAATCGTAACTACAGTTAATCGGCTTCTCGACAATCTTGCCTCGCGTTCCATCATGTACCATGAGAATAAACTTCGTAAAGTGCTTATGAGATTGTTAAAATCCAATTCTACTTCATTTTATTTTAGCAAAACATGTCGGGATCATTTTGGCGTCTTGAAAAAGAAATTGCTTGCATAAAACCCTGAAATGACCCATAGCTAAGCTGGAAACACGCCAAAAACAAAAAAAGGAATGAAGCAAAAATGAGTGGGGCTAATTGTGGAGGGCGGAGAAAGAAAGAGATTTAAAATTATGAAAATAAAAAAAGTATTGCTCGGTTTTTCAAAATGGACGGACCAGGAAACAGAAAACTATTCAAGATGGTGACACTTTTTCACAACTGACCTGAAATTCCACCAGCCCAATAGCAGCCGAGCATAACACCAATTCCCCAACCGAAGTTCACGGAGAAAAAATTTCCAAACTCCGACTTGCTGAGAACCATCTGAGCTACTGACGCTATTCCAAACGTCTGCATAAATATAAAATTGATGAACTAAAGTTTGCGCTTTTCCAATGTAAAAGAATCAGTTATGCCATGAGCTACAATAAGATCGACTGAACGTCTTAATTTTTCACTTATGGGAATCAGTTAAAAATCTACTTGCTGTTCACTCACCAGCAAAATGAATGTAGAAGCGAACTCAGCGGCAGCTTCTCTCATCAATTGGGGCAAACGGAAACGAACAGCCATGACGTAAACTCAGTGATCACGCTGTAGACAACAAAAGAGAAATGGAATATGATGAAAACAAGGTTTTAACCGAATGAAATTTTTCTGCACCAAACATTTTTTACATGCAGATTTGGATAAACATCCTTCTTACACAAGTAACCAGTTGTGTTTTTATGATGGGTGAAACTTTTGGACCACAAAAAGATTGACGTCAAGTCCTCAAGCGCCTATGTTCGCTTTCCAAAAAGCGGCAAAGCTATGACGTCATGCAACGATAAACATCACAACAGCAACACCGGACGACGGTCAAGAAAGAAGGCGCCAGTTTATACCTTTAGTAACACAAGAGACAACTGGCAATTTGCAGTCAGTCTTTAAAATTCTACCGCCACACCATAATTTTGGAGGCGATCGGCTCGTCTTCATCATGTTTAAATTCCGCCCCTCACACGCTCAGAGAAGAGATTACCGTGTTACAGTTATGTTTACAACATAAACCAATTGCTTGCCGACGAAATATTTGTCTCTGTACCTGAACAACCTGAATTGATATAGAAATTTCCCCGTCTGTACCTGAACAACCAGAACTGTTAGAGAAATTTCCCCGCCTTGTTAACAGCTCTGTAGTTCTGCTTTGACTATTAACTGTTCGAGTATTAAATTCACAGCTTTTGTGTTTGAGAACCTTGGTGGTCGTATTTATATCATTTTGCAGTGAAATGATATCCATGAATAAGACTGATGGAGATTAACACAGATTATAATTATTGACAATGCTTCATGACCAAATGATCTGAGCATTTCAGATAAACCTTCCTTCATCTTCATACGAAACTTGAATCACAATGGTAACTTCGAAAAATTTTTTTTTTGTATCCCACAGGGGAAGCCATGAAGTAATTCATTAATTCAAAAAGTCTTTCTAACTGTCAAAGTACGTCCTTCATTTGATGGTTTGCTAAATTATATTGAACGATATTTGCAAGTGACCTAGGCTGAGGAAGAGGGACAAAAAGTCAGAAGTATTCTCCAATTACTTCCATGTAAATTCTTGCAAGAATGTGAGTTGCAATTTGTCAAAGCTGTCTAATAAACGAGATCGAGCCGAACTTTCATGTTACAGTGTCCTAAAATGTCTGTTGTACTCACAACTCCCCCTCAGTTCTAAAGATTCAACAATAAATCAAACTTCTCCACCTCCTTCGCATTGTAATGTGAAAATAAATAGATCTGTCTGTATAGTACCTTGAACCGTCACACAATTTATAAAAAGGAAATGAACGAAGAATCAGAAGATAGGAAAATATAGTTGAAATTAAATTCTCTACCGCAATCCTCAAGTATAAGAGGATAGTTCACTGGGAGGTGATAGCTTTGCAATGAAACATATGCTTGATAAACTTGTTTGATTTGCTGCTGTTGAACTTGTAACACGGGAGCATGTCTCTTAATCAGCACGAAACATTTTTTCACCTGCTTTGTTTCATGTTTTTATTTTTGATAGATGATCTGTAACAGGCAGGTTTTTAGCTTTCGATTGAGAATATCCCATCACATAAAGCTTTGCAAATGTCAACTGAAGAAAAAAAAAGCCTTGTCGGTGTGCGCTATCAAGAAACTGGAAATACTCCAAGGCCTGAGTGTAGACTGAAAGTCACGCAAACCGGTAAACTTTTAACGAATACAAAGCAGAATAAATGGAAAATACAAATGTCACAATTCAGTGATAAATAGCAATTTGTCACACCTTTCGTTTGGGTGGTGTTGGCTAATTTCAAGATTCTATTTCGTGTCGATTTGTTACGCAAGTGCTTTCCATTAAGCTGTAAGCTTATTAACAACTGTGAACAACAACTGAGGAATGTTTGTTCTGAGTAATCACTAAAACGGTATACCCTTGGAAATATTTTGAAGCCCTTTTTTCGGTGTTTTACTTTGCGGTAATGCGTAAAAAAAAGAAACATCTGAGAATATAAACTGTGGTCAGCTTATGGCGTTTACTAAATTTAGTGATTCTACGGCTGACCAGATCCGGCAACTTTAGGACTCAATGAGCTTACTGAAGGCTTCTGTGTTGACCTCCAGCCTCTTTACGTAATGCCTTCAATGTCTTGACTTCTTCTTAGATTTTTGTGCACACTTAAACCTTTTCCACTGTTACATTTAATCATCAGTTTTAATTCTTACCTCCGAAAGTGTAGACTGGTTCACAGGTTTCTGCCAAGCAACTACACAATAACGAAGCCTTTCTATGCAACTTACCAGTTCCTTCAATTTGTTTATGATTGAGTTTAAATGTTTATTTTAACCTTAATGTTTATTAGCTTTGATTTGACAGCTTTTTCAGCCTTTGTCACGTATCATTTGACATAATTTTGCAATAGAATGTGAGATTTTTACTGATTGGCGGCTTGGACTCCTGGACAATTGGACAATCAAACCTTTCGACATTGAAAGTGGTATTTGAGTTGATGTCGCGAGAGCTAAGAATATTTCTCTCTTTTGAAGAGACTTGCAATAAAATTAATTGTAAGATGAAAAAAAAAACCGCTATATCTTCTAGCCCTGGTTCTATGGAAACTATTAACAGACGTACGTACGTACGTTTTGAAATAGAGTTGACAACTTATCAGTTTGAAGACATTACAACCATTTACCTTGAAGGCCGAGAGACCATTTTAAAAATTCCAGATATTGTTGAATATTTCATGCCAGTGTAGGTAATGTATACAATATCACTAGCTAAATGGTGGTCGGTGTCTCTAATCCTTATGCCGATGTCTCGGGACCTAAGCGTGAAACGCTATTACGTTAAAATTGTAAAATGAGGTTTGTTCACGTTACTTCTAGCCAAAGGATAAGTAATGAGTCAACTACATTCGCTCGCTTTATATTAAACTATATATGTAATAAAAGAAGCGTTGTTGACATCAATGAGTATCCGTGACTGGGAAAGGCCGAATTTTGTTTAAAAAAAGTTGCTTAATTCCTGATACTCTTTAAAAAGAAGCTTTTCTTCTTAGCTTGATCGATCAGGATGCCTGTCAGCTAACTGATAGTTCGAATGCCTTACTGGTGTAATTGCATTATCATTGCTTATGTCGTCCTGATGAGTCAGTGCAGCTGTTACGATGTTTTTTTGAAAGCTTCTTTATATGGAGTTATTGATCAGACTTAACTACTTGGTAAATTGATAAATAATAGAGAGACTAAATAAACAAACAACCATGGATGAAAATCGCAATAGGAAAGAACTGCAGGTGCGCATCAGAAAAATGAAATGAGATATCATGAAAATGCTGCGAGTCCAACCACACATCGAGTTCAAAAAATGAAATCTGGCCGAGAAGGGAAGGAAACTCAGAGGCAATCACGAGAAAAGGGAAGGTGGATAGTAAGGAAGCAAAAGCCGAACCATTTCTCCCTAAATTTTTTCCAAATGTCGAGGTTTCCAAAAACATAAATAATTAAGAAGAAAATAGGCGAAAGTCCTTCCCTCATCTGATCAACAGACAGAGATGAGACATAGTTTGATGCTACTCTGGCTTAAAGATCTGATGAATGCAACTGAGAAGATACAATTCGTAGACCCAACGTTTTGACACTCCTGTCTAGTGCCTTCATCAGGGGTGATCTAAACGCTGCAACAAGAGGTCCTTTTATATGCTCACGATTGGCTGACCTTTTTTTCTGACGAAGTGTAAATAAGCGTCAGGAAGTAAGCCGCCATCATCACGATTTATAGGAGCGTGGGCGGAGTTGATATGCCAGGCTTCCAAACAAAGACAGAGATGACTCAGCGTCATCACGAACGCTTTGACTAGTATCTTTATCTCGCAAAATTGTGAGCTCTCCAGCCAAACATTGGTCCAATTTAACCTCGAATGAAATTTTTATCAATTTTTTTCCTCTTTGTTTCAGTTTTAAGCATTTCAAAAAAACACATGCTTCCATGAGAATCGACAACCTCTCTTTCTAAGTTAACTCTTATTACGTGTCAGTAGGGCTTTTTATACACGACTTGTTTCTTTTGATTAGATTGTTCAAACGTAACATTATTCTGTGAGCGAAACAGATCCCAAAGAACACTTCGAGAAAAAGACTGTGTTACATTCTAACTGCAATGATGTAGAAACGCCATCAGCATGAAAAAATAAATTTAAAAAGCAGGAACTAGTCCTCGCCTAGTTGTTAGCATTTCAGCATTAATGTAGTTAAATCTAGAACTAAGTCAGAGCTACCCTGCAAATTAAAGGAAAGAAAGTTTAAAAAAAAATCGTTACCTACATTTTTGTGCAAACAATTCCATGACCGCAAGACGATTGTGGCACTCTGTGGTGCGGTGAATAATCTGTATCCTAGAGTGAGCGGTGTGAATCACCTCAAAGGTTTAGAGTGCCTCTCGGCTAGCTAACCCTTACCGGAGTTATTGCATTATCACCGCTTATGTTGTCCTGATGAGTCACAGCACCTGTAGCGACGTTTTTTTTCCCTTAATATTCAGATGGAGTTACTGACTTAGGTACATTTTAAAATGATAAATGTGGCAACGATAAAAAGACTAATTAAACAAACGACCAAGAATAAAAATCGCGATAGTAAAGACCTCAAGGTACGCATTAAGAAAATGAAATGAGATATCATGAAAATGACGCGGGTCAAACCACACATCGAGTTAAAAAAATGAAATCTGGCCGAGAGGGGAAAGAAACTCGGAGGCAATCACGAGAAAGGGAAGGTGGATAGATAGGAAGAAAAAGTAAAACCATTTCCCTTTAAAATTTTGCCAAATTCCTTTCCTCGTCTGAACGACAGACAGAGATGACTTAGCTGCATTGGGGACGCTTCGATCAGTATTTTTATCCCGTAAAATTATGAGCCCTCCAGCCAGATATATTACTCCAATTTATCTCCTGCTGTGGAAATGTTTTTTTCCTCTTTGTGCCAATTGTTTCTTTTGATCGATGAGATTGTTCAAATGTAACATTATTCTTTGAGCGAAGCAAATCCCAAGAAGCACTTCGCGAAAAAGACTGAGTTACATTCTATTATTGCAATGATGTAGAAACGCCATCAGCATGAAAAATTAAATTTAAAAAGCGGGAACCAGTCCTCGCCGCTGGCTGTCAGCATTTCAACATCCATGTAGTTAAATCAAGAACTAAGTCAGAGCTATCTTGCAAATAAAAGGAAAGAAAGTGCAAAAAAAAAATTACCTACACTTTCGTGTTTACAATTCCAAGGCCGCAAGACGATTGTGGCACTCCGTGGCACGGAGAATAATCTATATCCTGGAGTGAGCAGTGTAATTTAACTCAAGGTAACGAATCGACTATCTATTAAAACTCTTTATCACACCATAATTGTTTCAGCTGTTGAATGAAATGTCTGCCCAAGCACGCCTACGCTATAGACTCGCTATGTCTCGATACGTCCCAAAGCGAATGCAGTTCAAGTCAAAGCGAATCGTTCAATAAACACTAGGACCGCCACCCCATGATGCCCCTTCAAGCAATAGCGACAGACAAAAGCTTTTAACCCTTTGGTGAAGTTCACTTAATAATATGTTGACAGCCAACCCTGCCTCGTCTGCCTCGTTTTACATAAAGATAAGATCAAATGCTTAGTTTTCATTGACGAAAGCACCTTCCCCATAAAATGAGT